TGGGAACACACAGCACCAGAATCAGAGGCTTTTATTGGGAGGATAAACAGATAAAAGATCAGACTGATACAAGGGAGCCCAACCATTCAAAGCTTAAAAAGTTAACCAAATGAATTGAAAGTCAATATGGAATTTGACTGGAAGCCAGCATAAAGATTCCAAGACAACAGTAATATGATCACTTGAACCAGATCTGACTACTGCTTTATTTCTTGTTAAGTCTTCTGTGAAAACTCAGATGCTGTGGACTTGAAACGCTCAACTAGTTCCCGTTTTTTATTACACTTTGGATCTGCAAGAAAGAAGACTTTCGAACGGATTTACTTTACTCCAACAACACCAGGGTTAGAAGAGTTCGAACTGACAAACTGACAACAGTGGACCGCTGCTCGTCTCCCGTTTCTTCTGGATGCAGCTATCCCAATCAGAGAAATGAACATTTCAAAGTTTGTGCTCACGAACCAAGACAAACCTAAACATCATTTTCCTCCCTAACCACCAAATGTCTTTTTTCTAAGCTGGTGTCAACACACATCCCTGTGACTCAGGGTTTTCTTCTTGTCGATTTGTTTGGATCTGTCTGCAGTATTATAAACAGGCTGTTGAGGTTTACTGTGTTGGAGACCTCAGTAACCACAGCTCCAAGCTGCGAGTTGACAGGCTGGAGCGCCTTGTCCTCATGGCTCTGGAAGCTATCCTTTCCCAGACTATCCTCCTAGCCTTATCTGTGCTATAAGGAAGAGCTGATCGCTGAGCAGAACCTTGAATTAATTCATTAGCAGAGTGGCAGGCAGGGCTCAAGTTAAGGGGTCAATGGTGAATTCTCTGACATTACTCAACTTTCACTGTCGGAGAGGACATTTCTTAAGCCCGAGCAGTCTCACAAGGGAGCTGCCATGGGGGTCTCATGACTTGACATGACTTAAACTCCTGTGCAGCATTCTGGATGCAGCTGCAGGAACTCAGGTCTGCAGCAGGCAGTTAATACAGAGCACAGACTTGGACGGACAGAGCTGTCTTGGAAAAGCCCATATTATTATTTTTTTACTGGAAGAACTTTAATAGGAGTATGTACCTGTATGTAGCGCGTACAAACCACTATAAGCAGAACCCCTCAGCATAAAATAATTCCAACAATTGCTCTACAAAGCTCATCTGATACAGTAGTGCAGTTCCACTACTAAAACACAAACAGCACCACTGGCATTATTGTAAAGTGACCAAAGTGTTCTCTTTTTGTTACTAAAGGGGGGATTCTTACATGATATCCTACACTGGCTCTGAGCTCTCCTCCAAATTAGATTTACACATTTCAATTATGTAATTAATTCACAAGGTCCTGCAGTGTGATGAGAAGAAATACTTAAAATGTATGAGCTGGACAGACATCTGGTTGTAGTCTATTTTTCTGTTACATTGTTCCTGGTGGCCATTGCATTTAACAGTCAAACTCTGAACCTCTGACAGGAGAGACTGGATCCCCAGTTCGCACTGACCTTTCCTAAAGCCAGACCCACATATACAGCCTTGAGGAGCTCGAGGTGTGTTTTTGTCCGCTATCTGTAAACACCAAGGTTTCATCTGGCCACCTGGCCACTAAAAAAAAAAAGTCGCTTCTCCACAGCATAACCCAGAGAGGCAAGTTACCTTCCAACTCTACAAGAAACCACATGAACGGCTGTACTCCAAACACACACACACACACCCTAACCCCTCCGAAAGCAAAGCAAAATGCCAACGCGTTATTTCACTGCTTTCGCTGCCCGAGCCCAATGAATTCCAACACGGACTAACGCAGTTAAAATCTCAGCCCTTGTGCGGATCTGATGGCCCGGAGCAGAGAAACGGTGTTTTTGTGTGTCTGCGGGCAGCCATGAAGCCAAGCCCATGTGATGCCTGCTCTTCTGCCTTCTCTCAGACGAAGATCTTGGCCATGCTGGGGTACTGGCAGCACTCCCCCACCACTGCCAAGGAAAAGCGGTTTCTTTTGCAAGGTCTGTGTTTTTTTTGCTTCTTCAAAGGGACCCTGTAATGTCCAAGTTAAACATTTTAAGTCAACGTTTGGTGGGACTTACCCACTGTATTTAATTTCATTTTCCTAGCCAGCAGCTACATAATATTTTTATATACAGAACAAAAAAAAAAAAGTCAGCCCAGGCCCTTATGGTATTTTCTGTTTTTCTTGGGGGTTTTTTCCTGTTAAGATGGAGACACCTTTCTGTATTATTCTATTCTGCTATTTTCCGCCATGTGCGCGTTTTCTTAGGATTGTAGATTCTGTTGATTTCCCTTCTGGTTTTGCTGCTCTTGGCCCTTTGGAGAAACAGCCCTTCGTGCTGGTCATTATCCTGACGTGTAATATCAAATAATGAATACAATCCAGAAATGAGTTTGGATTTGGAAATGATCATCTGCATATATATTTCTGTTTGATCTGTTTAAGCACTCAACTTTAGGGACAGATTTTTGTAATACATTTTATTACTTAATCTAGTTCCTACATCAAGTGTTTTAAATTTTAGCAATAATAATTATACATAAATGAATTTACAGTTATTTAGAATGTTTACACCACAGGTATTAATGAAGCATTTTTGCAGGAACAGTTTCAGAACTCACAGTGCTAAGTATGCCAGTACTTTATCAAGAGAAATCAATACTTCGCGGGTTTTGTAATTGCTGGTATCGACGTCTGTTTCACGCCCTGATTTCAGCTCGTATCGATAACACGAACCATTCGCGCTTGTAAGTGCTCCATTAATTTGTCTTTAATTTTAATTAAGTTCTGCAAATGACAAGGTTCGCCGATCTCTAAAAATTAAGAAAGAAAACAAGTGGGCCAGAAAATCAGTCCACTAGATCTTACGTGGCTTCGCTAGCTCGTCTGTAACTACTATCCCAGCAACTACACCCGCCGCTCATATGCTACCAATAATACTACGTAGCTGTGTCCCACTACTGAAAAAAAAAAACTTTTGTGACTCTTCACGGAAATAAAATTAAATATATATAAACGTGTTTTTGTTAAATTCTATTTATTTATTTTCTTTGCTAAAATCTCTAACAAATCCACTATACGAAATGTGAGGTGAAGGATATCAGATTTTAATATCTTTCCGTGCGTTATGGTCCATTCAGAAGCGCCGTCTGCTCTCGCAGCTCGTCTGCATTGTCGGAAATAATAGCAGACGTGCTTAAGGATTGGTATGTAAAGCAAGAAAGATATCGCAATTAGTGCCAATGTGCGAACAAATTACTGATGGGTGTACTTAATTATTTTGCATACAAGCAGACATAGATTTAAATATTTTCAAAATGAGTCAAAACGAAGAACATATATTTATTTTTTTTGCGCATAGAAAGTGTTTGCTCGTACAGGAATGTTTGTCTTTACTAGTCTTCGGCATGGAAGATATTTCATGTCATTTCACGGGCATTATTTCTGTTCGAAAGGAGGTGAATTATTTGTTTGAAAAGTTCTTCGAAGTTTATGTTCAAAACATCGGCGGTTCATTCTCTCAAAAACCTGGGAGAAACTTCGTCTGAGAGGTTCTTTGAACTCGTGTAGTTACCCATGACCTACCATTTATAATTATAGTCACCATTAATAACCATAGAAGCCCTGAAAGTTCTTTAATTATTATCGCACAACAATAAAAACAATAACAATACTAAATGCCAAGAAAAGCTAGACAACCTGTAATTACGTCGTTTAACGGTGGTCTTGACAGATCTCAACATTTGGGAAAGAAATCTGCCCCCTACGGATTTCAGGTTACAAGTAACAGCTGTTCGGCTTCTAAGCAAGAGCTCTCTAAGGAATTCAAAAGTCATGACACAGAAAGTTTACTTCTGAATGTATGCTCTATATAAAATCGGAACGCTAATTCGAAGAAGGACTGTGACTGCTAGAAATTAAAAAACTGCGTCGTTTCTGACCCTACTCAGAGGTGTCGGATTCTTTCTTTGGAGACATGGAACAAATGGGACCGAAAATATGTTCTTGATTTTTAAAATTAATTTCTGAGTGTATTTTTTAACAATTCTGTATAAACCAAGAAACAAAGTCAGGTGGCAGCGTAATGAAACGACCAAATTGTACACGCACGACAACATTGGGGGAAAAAAAAACAACTTAAACTGTCAGACAGTTCAGTTCTGAAAGCATGTCGAACAATTCGAATTAGTACCCCTAAAAATCTCGTCTGAGAAAAGTAACCCACAGATCTGAAGGCAGATGACGAAGCCTCGGCAGGAAAGAAAAAAACGAGAGACAAATCGGATCCTCGGGGATTCTTAGAACCCAAAAACATAAACAATTATTACCTTCCCAATAGGAACAAAATGCAGCAAATTGCAAAGAGAGGCTGAATTACTTGTGTGCGACGCGCAACAAGCTGTAATTTCTCAAATGGTTGCGGCGTTTCTGGTTGGGTTGTGCGCAGAACAAGCTCAATTTAGTGTAACGCACAGAAGATACAACACTTAAGAAAAGCACTGCGGAAAACGAAGACAGTTCTCTGTTCTTCACCCCCCCCTAGACTTTTTAAAACGCGTACATTTCTTTCCAGAAACATGAAATCCCATTTCCTCTAGTCCAGAATGGACAACACGCCGCAGACTATGATTGAGCGAGGAAAACCATTCACATGTAACTCTGTCAATTTCCCAACGCTTCTTAATACCCCTGGATTGTTCTCCCCTTAAAAGAGAAGTTTTTTTTTTTACTGTGTATCGCTGTATGGGTGCGTGTTTACATATCCACAAGTGTTTCACCACTAGAGTATAATAAAGACGTGTTTGTACCGCTGATCAAAACGCAAAAATTCATGTGTGAATAAAACACTTCTAATGCGGTTCTAAAGCAACACCTTGCTGTCTAATAACATCACTTGGATAAACACTGGGCATTTATCAGAATCCCCACTTTTTTTTTTCCAAATTATTTTAAAATTCAGTGACTGCGCTGAGCCTGGGTGTGGAGAGAAAGAGACTTGTACCTTTTACGAAAAGTGGGGAACGTCTGCATCGGTTGGTGGCCTGAATTTGATCCCAATGAACTGATGTGTTTCCTCGGACGGTCTTCCCCCGGGGATTTTGAGAATTTCCAATAAAGCTCCTTTGATTCGGAAGACCAGATTTCGGAAAACAGAGGGAACGTTATCCACCACAAAGACAGGACCGCGCGTTCCTCCAAAACTCCCTCTCCCTTCTCCTCAGCGGTATCTCCTCAAAAAGTTTTCCGCCAGGTCCCGTTCAAAAACACAGCGAGGGAAGACGAAATAACTCCCGTCATTCGGCTACTCTCTCCTGCAAGCCGCACAGACCGTAGCAGCCTGTGTGCAATCCATTCTCAGACTCAGAGGACCACCCCGAAACAGGAAGTTAACTTTTTGTTTTTCTAAAAAATACTCGTGCTGGTTGGCTGCGGTTATCCTCTTCCATTGGCACCGCTTTTCTTTCTTTCTTTTTTTTGCCGACGCGAACCAAAAAAGTCTACCCCTCTTTCTCCACTGCGCTCCTTCTGATCTGGTTGAGATTGTTTGTCGGTGCTAGTTTTTTTTTAAAAAAGGAAGTTAAACTAACCAGGGAGTCGCTTACGGCATTAGGATCCTTCGTGTTGAAGTTCGGTTGTGTGTGTGGCTGAGGATGCTCTCAGACTCAACCTCCCTGATGCACAGCACGCTGTCTCTCCGGTCGAGAGGAAACCGCAAAACCCGGACTGGAGTTGCTGTGCCAATACGGGACGAACAATCTTCGAGGTGCGATACCTTACGGGTGGAAACCTGTGTTTTCTTTCATTCCTAACATTAACGCCACATTCAAAATGTCCAGACTATACAGTAGACATCCACATTGTAAAATAACTAGAAACCACCGAATATTGTGTGTCCTTGGTCTCACAATAACACATATCTGAAAAAAAAAAAATAAGAACAGTTACACGTGAGAGATCGCTTTATTAGAGAGATCACTTTATTAGCCATATACAATTTCTTGCATTAGAGAAAAAGCTATCTGGCCCATCTAGCCCCTCGGTAATAAATTGCAATTTGCTGGTTTCATTACATGAAGTGACTCTCAGTCCTAACAGCCTGTGAAATACTGTTTTAATCAAATGAGGCTGAAAAACGTCACGCAGGTACATAAATGAAACTTAATTAGCCCAGATCAAAACTTTAATTTTGTTCTATATACAATCTTTTGGTTGTTCTTAATATGTTCTACCCTGTGGCTCAAACACCTCTGAAATCTTTTGTGTGTGTACAATATACAAGAACGCCAAAACAGAATCAGTTGAAGCCACAGACTGAAAAGAAAGGCTGTATTAAGGTTTTTGCTTCATTTAAGTACCAGAGTACCCAGAGTCTGGTTTTAATATATGAATATCCTGCAGCATGTGAAAATAATATAATTCCATTTATTTAGACAGTATGTTTCATTCCAGAGATCTGAAAGTGGCTCCTTCCTCCCGTCTTTTTTCTAACTGCTTCTTTCAAGTCAGGGTCCTGGGGGAGTCAGAGCCCATCGTGGCAAGCAGTGGGCGCAAGGCAGGATACACCCTGACAGTATGCCAGTCGATCACAGGGCACTCACAGACCAGTTTTCCCAGAAGCCAATTAAACTGCCAGTATGTTTTTGGGGCTGTGGGAGGAAACCCACACCAACATGGGATGAACATACAAGCTCCACGCTCATAGCACTCCGGGTTCAGAACCGGACCCAGGGTGAGGTAGTGATGTTACCCTCCAAGCGGTTCACGTGTAGGAGCAGGCCCACTTCATTTTGGAGGGCAGAATTAGGAACGGGAGTATGGTCAAGACGTAGTGAAGCTGCCATGATTTGTCCCAGCCAGGACAAAACTAGCCGCAAAAAAAAAAGAACTGCTTGTTCTTTAACGATGAATGCAATCACTTTTCTGGTGTTTTGTTTACATATATAAGAGCAGTTCGTCTGCTACTATTCTTTCTAGAGGTAATACAAAGTTTAAATTGGGTAGAAGTTTGGTGCAAAATATTAAATAGCTCTTCAGAGTGAAAAGGTCATTTTCAACGTTTGTACAGTTACGCACATTTAGATGTTTCGCTGCCACTGGGACTGTAGGAATGCATTTGGTTTAATTTGGTTTTCAGGTGAATTAGAAAAAGCCTCCAGTATTTCCTTAACATGGTTCACTACTTGTCCATGGGTTTTGGGACAGGCCGCCTGGCTTTGGCCTGTGAGCACACAGTAACAGCCAGACAGTGCATTATCCACTGTTTTAAATACACTCTGATCTGCTGCAGTTTTACAGCAATTGACTTTTCTGCTTTCAGTTGTATATATTTTTCTTGCTCTTTCAAACTACAGGCTATGCGCGACAGCTTTGTGTGCAGTGGTGTTTGTAGGCGCTCCATTTTCAGTTTCTTATCTCTCCACGGTGGTTCTGTTCTCTTTCATGTGATGCTGTATATGGTCTCTCAGGCGTATTATATTGTAAGGCACTTTTGGCAAGCTTCTCCATAAACAATTCTGTCACTGTTAGACAAGGTGTTCTTCACGGGTGATGATTTATTGCCCCTGTTAGACTTTTTTATTTTTGGTTTGTGCCTTCTTATTTATATACACCCCTGACTAATGACTCTCTTTTTGTGAATTCTGCGTGTGTGTCTAAACGTGTGTATGGGGTATCCTTCAAGGGGTGGCATTCCATTGCTCTGTCTTTATATTCTAACAAATCAACTTTCTGTAGTCTTGTCTCCTCCAGAATTAGCTATGGCAATGCCAAGCTTGGCTGCAGCTCCTAAGACTACACTGAGCAAACTGTAGAACTTCAAAAAAAATGGGCAAGTAGGATGCTAAGTCCCAGGCTGGCGCTCATATTACTCTGCACTGGTTTCAAGAAGGATCAGGAATTGATTTTACAATCTTCAGGCATTAAAGACTTTAAAACATCTCCAGCTTGTGCTTCAGTTTTCTCTGTTGCAATCTGTCCTGTTGCAAAACTGAAACGATCTATTGCCTGTTGTCCATCTCAAAGATCAGGTGTGAGCAGTAGAACAGTAGGTTCTCCTTTATCTACAGTCTTAGCTCCCGAACACTTACACAAATTCTTCAAGTATCTGCCGCTTTGTATGTATGGGCACAGAACTGTTTTTTAATGGGCCTTTAATTAATACTTGTTTTTTTCACTTTGTCTTCACTTGTATTATTTCCCAGTTTTTCTGTATTGCACTTAATACATGTATTATTATTATTATTATTATTATTATTATTATTATTATTATTATTACTAGGTTATTCAGTGTTCTTAACTCCACAAACCTTTGCTAGCAGATTTGGATTTGTGTTCTCTCTCTTCATCTGCATTAAATTTCCTGTGTGCATTGCCTAGAACATGCAGGCTGGTTTTTCAAAGCATGCAGCTCCCGCTTAAAACCATGTGGACCACATTTTATGAGGGGCTAATACAAAACTCAGGAGTAAGCGGATGTATTTTGGACTGTTTCCTTTTGAAGGTAATTAATAATTAGTTCTTATTGCACTTGAAGCTTTTTGAAAAAGTATGTGCATGTCCCTAAAAGTATAAGCATGTGTAATGGCTATTGGTTTAGCAAATATGGATAAGCATAATACTGGCATTGAATTAGAATTTGGCACAGACTTGCTGCACACCATGATCTAAGTGTGCTGATCTGCTTTCTAAAGGAAATGAAAACCTGTTGGTTTTTCGTATTAAGGCGTCAGCTTTCTCAGGCTAAGTCTTTCATGTGTTAAAGACTTTGAGATTTAATATATCCAACCATTGACTGCCAAGCATTCTAGGTTCACTTCTAAATGTGCAGGTCTGTTTTTTTTTGGTAGGATGCATGTTTTTCCTTCAGTGTAGCGTCTTGAATTACCTCGAACACGGGTCACCAAAGCTGGTCCCGGAGTGACTGAATCCAAGCAGTTTTAGGGGTAACCTTTCTAAGGACATGGGTCAGTTTGATTGCACTCATCTAAGCAGGTGATTTGTAAAATTAAGAAACTTGAAATTGAAATTGAAATCTCAATACTCTTGAGCTATTGTGGACTGTTTCTCCTTTAAAAGAACAAATTACTTTGCCTAATCTTCTGCAGCATCTGTTGTGCCAACATGCACATGAGAACCACACCATCAACACTGTGGTCTCCCTGTGACATGGGATATTAGCCAAGGAATTGAACCCTGGGCCCTTGCGGTAGCAGCACTCAAATCAATCGAGCTACCCAATCTCTGTAGACATCTTTCTCTATACTACATCTTTCCCTATCTTTCTTAAATGCACTCTTACTGTAACCCAGAGTTACTGTGTGTTGTCGGCGTGTGGATACGAAGAGTCCTCTTTTGTGTGTTAGAATTACTCACTCCCAGACCGTGACCATCTGGGTCATTGCCAGGGTCCAGGTATCGGCAAGTAGAAAGGTTTTGCCTTCCTTCATTGAGCGATGACGGCAAATAATAGAAGCTGATGCATTGCCAAACCTGGATCTCACAGTTGCGCTTCGAAACAAGCAAAAGAAGAGAAATGAGAATGACGGGGATAAGGACGGCCCTAGAGAGGCTCCACTGTCGCAGGTGCCCTCTCTCGGTGCACGTTGTCCTCTGCGCTCTTGCTATTGCGAGTTCAAGCCAGGGTAATGGTTTGGCCTGGAAGAGGACTGGGCTGCAGTCAGCCCAGTAACCCCCAGCGACGTCTCAGATGCCTGCGGGCTCACCGTGATGTCGACAGGGGAGGCGCTTTGCCCTGCAATAGGTACTGAGCCTTCTCACCACCCCTGTGGACACGGTAGCGCGACAGTTCAGTGGGTCGGCAGGTCAGAGAAGCCTGCCTGCGATTCTTCATTCTCCCCATTTTGGGACATTCCTACTCGAGTGGGCATATAATTGAATCTAATTGGCAATTCCGAACTTGCAATGAATAAAGTGAATTTTTGCTACGTAACACAAATGTCACCAAGGTGATATTCATCCATGCCTTTTTAGCCTCTTCATCCAATTTGGGGTCACACGGAGGCAAACAACAGGGACAAGGCAGGATACACCCTGGAGAGGACGCCAGTCCATCGCAGGGCACACGCACATACAGTACACACCAGGGAACCTTTCAAGGAAGCCACTAATTCAAACAGCGTGTTGTTGGACTGTGGGTGGAAACTGGAGCACCTAGAGGAAACTCAAGTAAACACAGAGAGAAGATGCAAAGAACTGACCCCAGGGCTCCAGTGCTGCAAGGCAACAATGCTGACCACCATGAGTAACATACTTCTTTATATACAAGCCTGAAATCCCACTGTGGGCCCAAGGTTGTTGTCGCTGTTTTGTCCAGGTGGTGAGTCTGGTCTCACACACTATCCAACAGCACAGCAATGTTGTTAGAATGGAGAAGGAAGACAAGCGGCTTCGCTTTCTAACAGGGATTCAATGATTTGAATTGACTTGGATAAAAGCTTCAGAACATAACAAGGGGCTCTCCTGGAATATCAAGACTATTCAAAGAAAATTGTAGAAAAATCCTCAAAAATACATTTCAATGCAATTATGCCAATTGTTTTGAATTTACCAGAAGAGCATCTCTAAATGTAAGCCCTTTCCATTCAGGCCAGGACATTCTAAATCAAGATACTCAAATTTCTTT